TTCACCATTGAATTTCATTTTGTTAGATAGTGCCCAGTGTTCAAGTCTGTCCAGATCCTTCTGTATCTTAAGCCTGTCTTCTGGAGTGTTGGCTATTCCTGCCAGCTTGGTGTCGTCTGCAAATCTGATGAGTTCCCCATCTATCCCCTCGTCCAAATCGTTGATGAAGATGTTGAAGAGCACTGGGCCCAGAACAGAGGCCTAGGGAACCCCACTACACACTTCCCTCCATGTAGATGCGGTTCCATTGAGGACCACTCGCTGAGTACTGCCGGTCAGCCAGCTACGGATCCATCTGGTGGTGATGCTGTCTACCCCACATTTTTCTATCTTGTCAAATAGTAGGTTGTGATGTACTTTATCAAATGCCTTACTGAAGTCCAAGTAAATTATGTGCCACCAGTAGCACGCGTGCCATAGGTTCGCCACCACAGGCTTAGGTTGATCTGTGGAATCCTTGGTGCTCTCAGAGCTTGGTTGTTTGTTTACAGACTTTGCATTACACTGATGTATCCAGTTGGATAATGAAACATCTGCTAGCAACCAACCAACCTCAGAAGGAGTTTTACCATGGATCTGAGATCCTCCTTTACAAATTTGGGAAGAACCAGAAACTTGTTTGGTGGTCTAATTCTGTGATAGCCAACAATACAGAGGCACCCTTTCCTAAGGAGCCTGACAAATTGTAAAGAGTGGTTTATTGCCTTTTACATTAAGTGCCATCAACGTTGATTTTCAAGTGGGAAGACAGAAAATTAACCGCAAATATACACTTCACTAACACCACAGGAAAGCACTTTAAAGCGTGAAGCATGATTGAAAAACCACTATAAAGAGTGGGGAACAGCATGTAGCAAACTAGTATGACCGAAGGGCTGCTGATTAAACTGTTGAATTGAAAGGCAGACTTGTCAGTCATGGCTGTCAATCACTCAACTGGTTCCCTTCTCATTCTGTCTGCTTCACTCTAGGTTCTAGCAACATGAAAGCACAGTAACCTCTTTGGCAAAATGAAATGCCATTTTGTAATCTTCCAGAAAATGTTAAATTGCTCGTGAAATTTTATGACAGCGGCAACCAGTTTCTGGTTGTTTCAGATGAAATTCAATTTGGGAATGTGGCACATGGAACTGATCCAAACCAGCCTAATTCAGCTCAGAATTTAGATGAACCAAATGCACTTCATTTAAAAATGTAGATAACCTTTAATTTCATTCAATAAATACCTTTGGTCCACGTATTCTGACAGATTTTCCCATTAGTTTCTCATCATCAAGTTCACACTGTTCCAGAAGATCCAATATGTCTTCTTCCTGAAAAGATACATTCTTGAATAAATGTGAAAAAGTCAGAATGCACACAGCATACTAAAAAAAAAAACCTGCCTTTTTCTCCCCTTGTCTAACAGTGTCTGGGTCCTAAAAACAATGCTAATGGAAACTTGCAATTATTTTTGTTGAGCTAATTACAAGGGTTGAAAGAAAAACTATGCCTCCACCTCCAGTTTAAATAGGGCTATTTTAATAAGTTCAAGGATCATTCTCCATTTTATTTGGCTATTTGTATTTACTTATTCCCATAATCACCACCATTCGCTACATACTTTTACCAATGATGTCCAAATGAGTTGCAGCTGTCACAAAAGAACTCCACACTTCAATCTCTTCAACCAAGTCCTGACAGTCCTTTCCATCTCTTCCACCTCTATCCCTCTGAAACAACAATTACGTGGAGTTTGGAAGCACAAGAAAGAAATTTTGCTGCAACATGACAACACAGGACCTTATACCTCATGAGCCACGACAAGAGGCAATTGCAAAGTTGGATCTCACCTCTTATTTCATCCGCCATAAGAGTCCAGACTTGGTTTTGTACAACTTCCACCTTTTCCCAAAATTGAAGGAATACCTTAGTGGGCATCTGTTTGACTCAAACGAAGAGGCAGAAAGGACTACCAGGACCTGGTTGAAGAGACAAAGTGTGGAGTTCTTTTGTGATGATTGTCCACTGTTGGCAGAAGTGTGGAGTGAATGGTGGTGATTATGGGGAGAAGTAAATACAAGTAACAAAAGTGCTCAGTTCAAGGATTACTCTCTGTTTTCTTTATTAAATTATCCCTATTTAAACTGAGTTATGGAGGCGAAGGCATTACTATTTATTCAACTCCTATAGAATTGATTTTGCCATATTTTATTGATAGGTGCCCAAAAGCTAAACTTTTAAGTGGTAAAAGTTTTGACTCCTGACTCGGGAATTGAACTCAGTACTTAAACCACTGCAGTTCTATGCGTTTATTGATGTATGAATCTATGAACATTAACATTCCACAATGAAAAAACAAGATTATACTAGCTAACCACAGCTGAGATTACTACATAGGAATTCCAGCACAGCTGTCCATGCAAAGACCATTTGAAACAAGCATGAAATGAACAAGCAGTTTAGCATTTCTTTAAAAAGCTGCTTGAGGTTTCAAAACCAGACAACATGTATCAGATCTTCTCCCTGGAAATGCTGAAGTAAGATGACATGTTTTTTTCTCTTTCAGGGTGCTATATGCAAACTTGATAGATGAGTAGCCAGAAAAAGCTTTTGGAGACAAACCATAATTGGATGCAATATGCAAAGATATAACACATGGTTTATGAATCCATGCTGTATGGATCCAACCATTCTGGTTTTTAAACCAACATTTAAAAGTAAGCACATGATATGAAACCAGTTAACTGTACTGTTTTCATCAAGCTACATTTGAATCATTAGTAAAAAAAATATAAACACAATGTTGATCTCACTGCGGTATAAACACAACTCAGTACGACAGTACTATAAATTGGATGAAAAGAAAAAAAAATCTAAACATCTTAGTATTTCTACATGGAAATCAATTATTTGAAATCATTAAGTCAATAATGGCACTACTGATACCTTCATCCTTTTCAAAGGGTTGTTTATTTCCCGTTGAAGTGAAGCTGCCCTCCCAGCAAGAAAGATTTGAAAAGCTGTGGCTAACAAACCTTCATATTTTTCAAGTAGAAGTTTATCTTCAGGAGGGTAAATACGCCTACAATATGAATAAAAGAAAGGAAAAATCTATGAGACATGAACAATTCCACAACCCGTTATCCTGTATGCATGCTTAACTAAAATGAACTTAAACAAAATGTATGGCTTCTATTGCTTCAATCATACATACATACATACATACATACATACATAGATACATACATACATACATACACACACACACACACATACACATATATGTTGAGAAAAATAGTTGAACACCTGGATAATACAAAAACAACAACTGTTTAATAAACTTAGCTTTCGTCGGTCGTCAGAGTAGAATGCCGGAGGTTCAAAAGCCTGCTTATAAGACCAACTGCTTTTGCGCTCTGCTCATGGAGCATGTTACCGGTCTACCCACCCCTGCTAATCGTATGGTTTCTAATTGTCTCGCATCCGTCTGCATATTCGTGAGTTCAGGGATCCTCGCCTCTCCTGTTGTCGCTCTCTTTGCCTGCTTTGGGCGTGGCTGGAACTCATGAATATGCAGATGGATGCGAGACAACTAGAAGCAGTATGATTAGCGGGGGCGGGTAGACCAGTAACGCGCTCCATGAGCAGAGCGTAAAAGCAGTTGGTCTTATAAGACGACGTCGGCAGTTAGCTGATAAAAGCTAAGTTTATTAAACAGTTGTTGTTTTTGTATTATCCCGGTGTTTGACTATTTTTCTCAACATGAATATGAATATATATATATATATATATAATGTTTTCTGAGGTTTTCGTGGGTGTTTGTATGTAGGTATTTGGTTATTCGGGTTTTCTCCCGCGTAAAATTGGAAGTGTCTTGGCGACGTTTCGACGAAGTCCCATTCGTCACCTTCAGGCTGGTGTCTTCAGCTTCGTGCTTCTAGGAGTAAGAAGCACGAAGCTGAAGACACCAGCCTGAAGATGACGAATGGGACTTTGTCGAAACGTCGCCAAGACACTTCCAATTTTACACGGGAGAAAACCCAAATAACCAAAGACCTATATATACACACACACATACACACACACACACACACACACACTGCATTGCATTGATTTATGCACCGAGTTAAGCCATAGAGATTTTCAGGGAGAACATTGACTTGGTAAATGTACTTAATGAAAAATACAGACTTGAAAACACTTATTCTACTTAAAATCTACTGTATTTTCACTGGAGAAAGGAGACACTACAACTAAAAAAACAAAAAAAA